GAGATGCTTCTGTTTGGTGTGTTACCTAACCCGGTTGTCCTCCGAGTTAATCAGAAATGTTGATCAGCCACTTTACGACACAAACTTTTATAACAAATTCAGATTAACCTGTACCGTGAATGGTCTGTTCTCCAAGATTTTCATTTTGTTTCTAGTGCAAACCTAAGATCAATAAATGCGTTTTTCTTTATTTGTCGTTGTAGCGTCAATGTAAGTATTGGATTTTCGTCAAACACTGTTTCTCTGCTGTGTAGCCAGTAGGAGAAACGTATGCTATGAGTAAATAATTTTTGGCCTCATCCCCTCTAAAACTTGACTGGCAAGACAACCAGATATTTGTCAAATGTTTAGGGACCAGGGCCTCATTTTAGAGACTATGAATCAAAATGCAACAAGCAGGGAGTTTTGGACCTCCTAGGTGCAAGCAGTAGGATCACGCCCTTCTAGATATAGGACATGACCACGAAGTGGACGGAAGGAGCAAATAGTTCAGCGAACAGTTCTGTGGCTTCAATCAACGATTAGTCACAATTGGCAATTAGAATGTTTTACTTAATTAAATCAAAAGCAAAACATAGTGCCTATGAATAAAAAGCCAGCAAGGAAAATGCATTTCTCCTCATCGCTACGATGCTAATGAAGACGCGATGATACTTCCTTCTCCTTTGGCGCTTTCTGTTAAAGAGCTACAGGTCCGTCTTTATAAGGAATCCAGCCGGGAAAGATGCAACGAGTGTCATTCCACTTTCCTGGAGTAAAACTCCGTCTCCAGTTCTTTCCAATCAAGTGCATACATTTTTAGAACACACGTCTGTCCAATAAAACGTATTGTATCCTCTTCGTTGAAGTCCTATCTATGCTCCGGGACCAATAAACTTCACCTGCTTCTAAGAGGCTGACACAATTTTAGCGAGGTGTCCTCCCAGTTTTTGGCAGTTTCGTCCAGCATCTTCCCATTCCCCGATTGGAATGTCGATTACGAGGAACCAACAGGTTTTATAATGAACCCAGCCCTCTAAAAAACCTGACTCTGATTCTGATAATGATGAGGAAAAAAAGTAAGAAAAGCGCTGTGCGGAGTGATGGATATTAGAAAAAGGAATTATGACAACAGTTTCTGAAAGAAACAAAATTTATTCTAAAGCATATTTGTAGAAGACTACGTCGAGAGGATCGAATTGGACTGGGCCCGAACCCTGAATCGTGGGATGATGCAATCTGATGTAAGTGGATTGACTAAGTGTCGAGTGCAGTAAAGATGTTGAGTTTTACATATTATTTGTCGTTTAGCTGTTGTTTTTGCCCCAAATTGGACAAACATATTGTAAGCACTTCGTGCTTTTAAATTTCATCATGATAATTTAAAACCGACCCCTAATTGAAAAAGAAGACTGATGTTACTATTTTTCATCTTGCAACATCTGACCCTCTCAATACAGTAGAGCTTAACGCAGCTACTTTTGTAGAAACCGGTCATGTAAAAACCGTCCCAAAGGCATTCACTCCAATCCCTCGTGTCAAATAAAATGGTAACATCTTTATCGTAACAGTCTTCATAACTACAGGCATGATTTTCTGGATGGTAAGGATAATAACATGAACGATGGCAATGAGATAAATACTGATAATGGTATTGATAATGACAATAACAATGATAATGATATCACTAGTGATAACGACAATGACGATAACAGTGACACTGACAATGACAATGACATATAACAAGGACAGTGAAACTGACAATGACACTGATGATGACAATAGCACTGGTACTGACAATGACACTGGCACTGGTACTGATACTGACTATGACGACGACAATGGCAATGACGATGACAATGACAATGACAAAGACACCGACACTGACAATGAAACTTACAACGACAGTGACACAGACACTGACATTGACAATGGCATTGGCAAAGGCAACGGCAAAGACAACGCAGTGATTGCGAGTTGTTTAAAATGATAATGATAACGATAATGATAAGACATTGACATTGACATTGGTAACAATAAAGATGTCACTTGAAATACGCTCTATGATTCCATATAAAATGATCTATTATTAACCATATAAGCAAACAATATTACCACTTTTCATCTTGCAACATCTGAACTTCTCAATACAGTAGAGCTTATCACAGCGACTTTTGTAAAAACCGGTCATGTAAAAACCGTCCTGCTGGCATTCACTCCATCCACTCGTGTCAAATGAAGTAGTAACATCTTCATCGTAACAGTCTTCAAAGCTGCTGGGATGATTTTGTGGATGACAACATTTTGCCTCGGCTATGTTGTTCAAAAACGCGGGAAGAGCATGATCAAGTCTGAGGCCATTCATGAAATAACCGGATGGACAAAGTGCCCAGACATTATATCTAAAAGAAAAGTACTCGATATTCAAGTGTTGCAGATTGGTTGAAATGAACTTTCACTGACGACAAAAGACTATGCTGATCCCAATTACCAAACTAGTTGAAATTGTTACTTTATACCTTTAAACTTTTGTCATAACCTCTATACGTATTATGTCCTGTAGGCTTTCTTAAATTAAATCTTTCGTCAGCAATAGGCGATCTCTATAGAGATTTTTAATTCTTCTGCTAATTGCAATAGTAATGTTTCGCTGCTTAAATCGGTCATGCCAGGTTTGGTTTCATTTCATTTATGCTTTCAAGAATCCTTATCATTCTGTAGACTCACCTATTCAATAAAAGCGACCAATCTGCATTTAAACAAGTAGATGACTGATTGATAAAAGTTGGTTCCTCTGCTCTGCAACAGTTTCCAAATTCAATACGCCCAACTCTGTTATCTCCCGGCATTGGATCATGTCTCCACAAACCCCTGAGGAAAGTGGTATTCCTGGGACACATAGACCAACCAATCTGGTCCAGGCTCGCCTCCCAATCAGCTTCTTCACAATTCTGCACTGTAAATTTCGAGAATTTAAAGACTACATTAATCGTGATGCTCAGCGAGTAGCAGCACCTTTGGCCCCTGGATGTGGCAAATATCGAAAGGAGCGACTCTCAGAGCTCTTAAAATCATGCCCCATGTTGGTGAGTAATATATTACACAGCGAGCTCTACTGAAATATTCTTATTCAAGTTCTTGAATCGGCTATCTTTGCATAGTCCATTATTGCATGGTCTTGTCTCCTTATTTGGTTCTGTACACTGCACCCCAGCCCTTGAAGACTGCATTCTCTCCAGTCTCTCCATTCATTAAATCAGCATCAGTTTTATCTATAAAACATAGGGTTACTTTCGTGAATTTGAACCTTTTTTCGTATTTTGTTGCTGTTTTTCGTCGAGGTTGTTGGGTTCCCTCTGCGGTTAAAACAGGCTGAAAACTTAAATCACGGTTCCATCTGTGGCGACTGAAATACATTCAACGTCAAACAATTTTTCCACTCTTTTTAACCAGATTGATGTTAAACTATGAATAAAAGTAATTAAAGCAGGCAGACACGGACTCCCTACGTGATAGATGTGATGTTGTTAGATGTGTCTTTCATAACTTGGGTCTTTCGAGCTTTTCTTTGAGAGATCTCTCTCTTCTGCAGGCTATAATAGGTAGATTTCTGAAGATGTTTTCGGCAAGGGCTGATTATGTATTAAATCCCAGTTTTGTATCAAAATTTTTTAAAGTACCGTTCAGACGGCTGGTATGTTATGACAAAAGGCAAGGTTTGCTTTCGCTTTGTTTTCTTTTGTAGTAGGGCCGACTGTCTTGTCTCTACAGTCAATATGATAGATTTTAAAAATTGTTTGTCGTTCAGCTGTTGTCTTTGACCCGAACTGGACTAGCATATTGTTAGCACTTCGTGCTTTTACATTTTACCATGATAATTTAAAACCGATTCCTAACTGAACAATAACACTGTTACCATTTTTCATCTTGCAACATCTGAACTTCTCAATGCAGTAGAGCTTATCGCAGCTACTTTTGTAGAAACCGGTCATGTAATAACCGTCCCGCTGGCATTTACTCCATCCCCTCGTGTCAAATGAAATGGTAACATCTTCATCGTAACAGTCTTCATAACTGGTGGGATGATTTTGTGGATGGCAACATTTTGCCTC